GGCTGAACATCTGGATCAGCCCCAGAGAAACAACCTTGAGTTGCTGCCCCTGCTGAAAGAAAGCCCAGCAGCAACGAGCAAGTCATGGTCTCCCATTATTGAACATGAAATTGTACACAAGCACCTTTGTTACTCCATACAAAAAGCTCACAGTGGCTGCAGGGCCGGTTTTTCTAGCAATTTTTAGAAGGGATTTTGTCCAAAAATATCCATTTGGTGTTTGGAAGATTGTTCCAGTGTATAGCCAGCAGCTGTTCTGCCCAGTACTGAAATTAGTGGGTCTGTGTAATGGGATTTTCAGGACAGACTGTACCTGCCACAGCAGAAGGACTGTTCCAGGCTCCTGCATCACACACTCCCTGCAGGTTAGAAAATATCTTTGCACCACTTTATGCATGCAAAAACCTGGGGGTTAACCAGGAGTTATCCAAGGGGCAGCAGGGCCTTGCTGGAGCCTGTTTGCCATCTCTGCTGCACCTCTTCTCCCCTCAGATCTGCTTCCAGAGCTCCACAGCACTCCTGGCCCTTTTAGGCAGGCAATAAATAAACAAACAAACAATTTAACAAAAAAAGCCCAAACCAAAACTACCTCTTGAACTCAGAGTGGGGTATTTATTAACTGAAAGAGTCAAAGAAATTATTTTATTACTAGTTCTGCTGGAAGATGTTAAAGGATCCTAGCAGGTCAGAGAGCACAAAGAGGGGAAGAGCAGCTGGTGGTAGTAACTTCTTTCCTGATCTCCTGGGGCTCCTCAGCTGCTTATGCTCCTACTCATTAGTGTCAGAGTGGAACCAAAACCTGACTATGTTTAATCACACATGTTTACATGTGTGTAAACATCACAGTGTTTAAGGGATTCAATAATGGTGTGTGTTTAATCCCTTCAGCCACCTAGCTCCTAGCACGAGCTGAAAATCCCATCAGTGTGGAGAATATTTATTTCAGCACCTCAGAGTCTCACACAGCCACTCTTAGTTCTTGCTGATCAGAACAAAGAGAAGCCTCCCTTGTCATGCTAACATCATGAGATTTCCCTGGGATCAAAAGGCCAGGTAAGGATATGACCAGAGAAACTCTGCAGACAGGCAGTCAAACCCCCTGTAGGATAAAGGTAGGATTTTTAAAAACCTAAACACTGCCTTAACTGCATTCAAAAGGCAATGAGCTGCAAAACAGCATTTAATTTCAGAGCACTGTTTGAGTCCAAGAAAGACCAAAGAATGATGACTTTTGAAAACTCAGTTCAAAATTTTCCCTGCTATATTTTAAGCATCTGAGAAACAAATTTAGCTGTATGGGATAATTTTTTCTCTGTGAAATGTTTATACCAGGACATCCACTGGCTTTCCTCTGAGTTCAATTGTACACCTACAGCATATTAATTAATAAATATGGATGACTCATACATTTTAGAAGTTCAGTGGACCAGTGTAAATCCACAATAGTTTGGTAATCTCAGGCATACAGTCATTCTTCACCATGACAGCAGCCTATGAAAGGAGCTGTGAAAACCTGAGATAACAAGCCTGTGAGATAGGAATGAGGTAGCTGAAACCTTTCACATAATTTATGACTGATTTTATTGACTTTGGATTTTTGTCAGGTGTATTTGTGTAATAAAATGTATTTTATTGGTTCAATTTGAGGTAAAGTCACAGTGCATCATTTGAATATCTTCAGTCTCTGGCTGAGAAAAACATCAAAGACTCTGCCTGGTCCCCCCAAACCCTCCTACCACTAAAACCAAAAGCTCCCAAATACTAAAACAAAAATAAGCAACAACAGCAACAAAACAACACAAAAAACCCACATTAAAAAAAAAAAAAAAAAAACAAAACAAACCAACAAACCTTAAACCCCTCAAAATATAGCTTGTGAATGGAAAGGTTTTGCAACACTCAGAAATCATACACAGATCTACAGAAATTGGTCATTCCAAAATGTTTCAATAAGGAAAAAGCATATGCTATAGGACTCAGACACACATAATTTTACCAAAGTGAGGAATAAAAGAAAGGTGACACTTGTCATGTTTTTTAGATGTGTTTTACTGTTTAACTTTTGAGTCTGTAGCTGTATATTCTATTGCTCAGGTTGAGGGCTCTCATTGCATATGGGTGCCCAGCACAGAGCATATTTGAGACACACAGATATTTCTTGCAGCCTTGTTCAAAAGGGAGAAATTGAAGAAATTTCTTTTTATTTGGTTTTTGGGGTTTTTTCCACTCATAAAGATGGAACAGTGTTGAAAGTAGCAAGGCCTTACAGAGATTCAGCCAGCAAACACACACTTCCCTTTCTCACAAGAGGCCAAAGTAAAATCCTTCTGCAGGCAGAAGGAGTCACAGCTGCACAGAGCAGCCCATGCACCAGGGACCACGTCCTGCCCTGCCCTGGCTCCCCACATCCCCTGCACAATGGAGGGATCCTCCTCAGTGCTTGTGGTCATTTGCTGGCAGCAGCTGTGCCTGCCAAAAGCCAGCCTGATCCCAAAGGACATTTTGCATTGCTTGCCAGGGCAGGATGACAGCCTGAACAGTTTACAAAGAGCTATTCCTACAGCAAAGCCTTGACAACACCCTCAGTCACAGGCATTGTAAAAGGTTTGAGCAGTGAATTTGTGAAGGTAAAATCAGGCACGGGTGGCACACAGGTTTCCCAAATCAGCAGAGGGCACACACTGCTTTCCACAGTCTCAGCCACCTGAAAACATAAGACAAACTTGGAGGACCCCCAAACTCTAAGAAGTTGATCTCCTTCAGCTTTTCAAGTCACTGGCTTTGAGAGGAATATTGCCAGCCAGGACTGCTTGGAACATGCCTTGAGCTGTTTTATTTTCCAGCATCAGTCTCATTACATGGCTATGACAATGGGAAGATGCCACCAGCTCACATCCCAGGCAGCAGACCAAGAACTTTATGTTACAACTTACTTTATAAGTTGTTTAACCAATCACACAAAGCAAAAGCATATTGACAGTAGTTCCATACTGCCACTATAAGCACATGTACCTTTGGTTAAAACAATGCCTGCTTATTTTGAATACAATACCTGCATGTAAGCTTTAAAACACAAACAGAGCTCCATTACTGAGCTTAAAATTTCCTAATATCTTGCTAGATAAACTTTTCTGTAGCTTAGGGAGTTATTCTAGACAAGAGTTAGTACACAGACCATTGTTCTATTTGTCCTTACTTTTCTACTTTTTACATGATTTTTCTGCTGATCTATCTCATGGCTACTGCTCAGCTCTAATCACAGTTCTGCTGTCTCTGAGGCCTGCCTTTTCCACCTTTCCCAAAACTTTCTGATATTATGGATTCCCACAAGAAAAAGCTGCAGAAGCAGCAGAAGCAGCTGGAAGTGTCCTGCATTGCCTTGTCCTGCATTGCCTTGTCCTGCATTGCCTTGTCCTGCATTGCCGTGTCCTGCATTGCCAGCCTGGTGGCCTTGCTCTTTCACACATACTGCTGTCCCTGTCTCTGTTCCTATGTGTGGTGGGTATTTCACTTGTCTGAATGAATTGGCTGGGAGGGAGGGAATATGGAAACTGGCAGAGTTTCTAGAGAAACACTCAGGTTCAGGTACAGTGCATTCTGCATGAACTTTTAATAAGTAGGGAAATAGGCAGGGAAAATTTCAGGCTGAAATATTTGGGGCTAATGTGAAGTGGGATTAAGAAAGACTTTAGGGCTAAAAGGCTAATGTGAAGTGGGATTAAACAAAGGCTGCAGGAGCTGACTCACACCATGCTTAGCATTACAAGATAGTCATCTTAATCAGAACAGTTAGGGCATTTTTACAACACAATATCAATTCACTCTGGTTTTTTCCTGGAAACCATTTTTATTTTGTCATGCTGCATGTCTTGTTACACCAAGGTTAAATTGTGGTTTGAATTCCTGGTAATAGAAGCTTGCCAGCAACCATAGAGCCAACCTCCCTAATTCCATTGTTTGGTTTTTTTTTTTCTATTTGTCTCATAGTCTAAACTTCTCAGGAGAAGCCACATGGAAAGTGATACAGCCTTACAATGAGAAGTCACTGCTACTAAACAGTCCTTGTAGAATTTCACTGAATTTAGAATTCCTCACAAAATAAAAGGTATAAACTAAAAGGTGAAAGCAGCACCAATGAATATCTGACCATATCTGTCACACACAATATTTGGTATGTTGAAGCTTTGGTATCCAAACTGGGCAACAGAGAATCCTTACCCATCACTTTTCATCTGAAACAGGATTTTTACAGCTCTAAAAGCTTTGCTGTCTTCTAACAGCTCCAAATAAATGCAAGGGTGACTTTTGGCTCTTTCTGAATGGTAAAGACTGCAACTGGGGCTTTTGCAACATCTTCACATTTCTAGGAGGTGAGGAAGGTGCAATGAAGAGAAAGTAAGTTGGTGGATGGTGTGATAGCCTTCATAAAGGAAAGGAGAGAATTTTTTTGTACTGTTTCTTCTTATGAGGTTGATAGACATGGTGGAGATCTGATGAGTGGGGAGGAGGCTTCAGGAGTGGAACAACTACATGAGCTGAGGTGAACTTAGACCAGATCCATTAGTGTGAAAAGGTTAAATATTTTCCCTGTCTCCCATCTTTCCCTTGACCTCCTAATGCTCTGTATGCCATGCCTGTGCTGCTCATTTCACCTAAGCAGATAGACCATATATTCTTGTGGTGCAAATAGATCATATATTCTGGTCTCAAGGTGTGGGGATTTACAGAAAGTAACAGACAAATTCTCCTGAATTTGAATTCACAAAACCAAACAGAACCTGACTAGAAGAATGTAGAGATCAAGCTCCTGTATAAAAGAACATCCAAACAACATCGTCCATCTCTGAAGATTTTCACTGCTGATACACATATATGTCCTGTCAAAAAAAGAAGTTGATCACATCTACTTTATGCTTTTACAACTTAAAATCCTTTTGCTATACCATTAGTCAGCCTTAATATAGGCTTTTCTTGCATTTTTAAATGTATGGAAAACTTACCCATGTAGGGTTTTGTGCCAGCCATAGAAGAAGCTTTTTCTGAGCCTTTCACTATGGTTGCTACATTAAAGTCAGTGATATGAACGTGTCCTGCAATTACACAAAGTAAAAACAGAAGTTAAAATAGCACATCATACAAATATTCCTCACTTTATCTAATATTTAAGTGATAATGGGAAAAACCCCACAATTTGAAGTATATGTCACATTAATAGAAACTTAATATTAAATGTTACTCTGAACTAGAAAAATCAATTTGGAAGCACAGTGATGGAATAGCTTTCTTGTCACCCACTACTGATCACTCCTGAATCTTTTCATGCCATGACCAAAGATAAGACATGGGCCCACAAGAACCCATTGAAGTTGGGTTTAGCAAGTTTAACTTGAAGTTTAGCAAGTCCAAGTGTAAGGTAGTGGATGGAGGCAATGTCAGACATGAACACACATTGGGAGGTATGGTAATAACTCATTGAAAGCAGCCTTGGGGGGAAGAGCTGGGGGGCTCTGTGGACCAAAACCTGGCAATGTCCCAGCAGGGTGCATTTGCAGAAGGCTGACCCTGGCCTGGACTGCATCAAAGGAGGCACAGCCAGCAGGCTGAGGGAGGTGATTTCTCTCTTTCTGTCCTTGAGAGACCCCCCTGGAGGGTGGTGAGACACTGGCACAGGTTGCCCAGGGGGCTGTGGATGGGCCATCCCTGGCAGTGTTCAGGGAGGCTTGGTGGGGCTCTGAGCCCTGGTCTGACTGAAGTGTTCCTGCCCACAGCAGGAGGGTTGGAATGTGATGATCCTGAAGGCCCCTTCCAACCAGAACCATTCTGTTATTCTGTTATTCTCTCTGTCTTCTCAGAAGTAACATGCAGAAGCAGATGTGAAGCTGGGTGTGAAATTTGCCTCGTCTCCAGCTACAGTCACCCCTCACATCTCAGGTACTTGTGACACTGTCTACAATTGCATCCACTACAGGTCACCATCAGCCTTTTTCTGAGTCTTCTCAGGGCAAAGAGGGAGAGGAGAAGACAAATGGCATTTTTATGAGACAATAAGTATAATATTAGATCCATAGTAGCAGAAGATGTGCATATAACAGGAGCAGATCCTAAATCATCACTCATTTGACAGCAGGTTGCAAGATGAACAGTAAGTGGCAGAAGTCAGCCTGAGAATGTGCTGCCTGACCAGCCAGACATGATTCAAACTGCACTAATGAGGCTGAATGGCCCAAACCTTCCATTACTCTTTTCCTGGGATAGTTTATAATAAGCACAGGCTCAGTTGCTCCACCACTGTGAAGTAATAGCTGTTAATCCTGGTTTGTCATAGGCAGATAAACTGAATAGAAATCCAGTTTGAAAATATGTAAAGCTTTAATTTGCAAGTCTTCTGTTAGGTTTTGTACCTTTGCTCAAGGACTAGTGTTGTGGGGTGATGTAGATGCTATCCTTGCTGTGATTACATCTGGCAGTGCCATGGAGGACAAGGAACTCCCTTCCTCATCTTAGCTCTGCACTCAGATCAGGATTAATAGATCATGTGTTGAGCTACACTTCTGAGTGACAAATTTGTGTGGGGTTTTTTTTATCAAGGTCTCAGTCTCATTCAATCCACAGAGTGGATCAGGCTTTGGGCATGATGCAGTTGTGAAGCAAGGGAGGTTTTTAATCATGTTTGCTGCCAAAGATGAAAAGAGTGTAACAAATGACTGATGGATTTTACCCTGGTGACTGATGGAGGAAGAACAGCCTCGACAAAATGTCAGGCTGCTCCAACAATCTCACCCAGATCCTGCTCAAAGACCACAGGAAATGTATCAGCCAACCTCTAATTGTGCAGCTGTGCATGTGGGAACTAAAATGCCCAGAGGACCCTAATTTGGCCAGATCTGACCTGATTTTGAAGGGGGAAGTACTTAAGAAGGTACTTCCCACTGCTAAACTTTAAGCTGTTTGTCCAAATGAGACACAGTAGAAGTCTTCAATGAAATGGTTTGCCCACTTTTCTGCAATTTTTTCAAAAAAACTTCTTGAATTTTATTAACACTTTTTTTCCTAAGATGCCCAGGTCAGAAAGCCCTCTACACATGGCAGAGAAAAAATGTGAGCCAGGGAAAGGCATCCCTTTATAAGAGGTGGGAAGTGTTAGGCTGCCATGACAAGAATCAGTGTTCACAGCCCAGCTGGACATAACAATTCCAAGGTGGTGTCCTACTCCCTGCTGGCTGGAGTGTAGCATATTTGCAGTTTATTTCTGCCATCATAAAACACTGTGACTGAAGGCTTCTTGAAAATGATAACTGAAAAACATAAAGCAACCTCATGGCAGTAGTTTAAAGCAATTCTATGTACACTGTAGAATGAAAGGTTGCAAGGATTTTGGTAGCCTAATATTCTCTCTCTTTTTTTGACAGATAATAGAAATAGAAATATATATGAAGTTCTGCCACTTAAATGACAGCATTGTAAGTGAGGCTCCATTAGAGTGCCAGTGTGACTGTTCATTGCAAAACATCCATCCATTCAGACTGATCCAAACAGGTGATTTGCAATGAAAACTGCCTCTCCTGCAGTGCATTGTTTTCTCTCCCTTTAATTAGATTTCTTTTCATTTAACAAAACCAAAATAGCACACATGAAATGTTGTGTACATTGTGGGTTTTTTGTTAGAAATGCCTTTCTGGAAGGTAAGGGATGGATCATGAAGGTAGATTCTGCACAGCTCCTCTGCATCCTGCTGCCCATACAGCAACAGGCAGCTCCTGTACATGAGGTAGGACACAGTTTACTGCTGGAAAAGCTGCCCCTTTGCTTTTCCCCATCACTGAGCTGTTCCACCTATGGCAAGAGAGAGAGGGAGAAAACATCTTCCCAGTAGGGAGACATTGAAAAAGCTGAGGGTCTTCTTTCTGCTGACAGGAGGGTGCTGAAGGAGTTTTGGAATATCTTGAATCTGGTGATTGCAATTATTATTCATCAAATCCTGGAATTCTAGATGTTTGGAGTTTTTCGTTTTTGTTTTGGTTTTTTGGGTTTTTTTTCAGTTGTTTTTTTTTTTTTTTTTAAGAATATTTTAAAACATATTAAAGAAAACACTTTTCTTTCTTGAAGGATGGTAAACTTCTACAATTTGTTGCTCCAGGAGATTGTAAAGGTCAATATCAGCTGCAGCTTCAAGAAGGCAGCTAACTCAGTAACAAGTTACTTTCTTCACATTCTAAATGGAATATGCAAAGATGCTCTGATATCCTACCACAAAAAATTGTTGGTGATAGGCAACACTGATGGCAAAGTGGGAAAATGCATGTTCCACAAATGCTTCCTTTTGTCACCACTTGCAACAAAATGCTGCCCAAGGTGTTGGATCTGCCCTAGCAGGGAGTCCTTGCTCAGTAACCCAAGCATGGATTTTGCTGCATGAAACCATGTTGTGGAAAGCTTGCCTGAGAGGTGTTCCAACTCTTGCAGGCTCTTTGTAAACTGATTGTATTGATGGTGTGGTCACTAAGCAAAAGGCCAAGCCTGGATGCAAAAGCAGAGATTGTAATTTCTGCAGAACCACCAGCAATGGTAATTTCAATGGTACTACCAAATAACTGTAGGAAAAATGTTATCATCTCATGAAAATGTCAATTTATTACTCTGTTTACCACTGCTTGTTTTATTGCATTTGACAAATTCTATGTCTCTTTGACATCATAGTTAATAGATCATGCAAACTTTTAAAGATATCTTTAATTTCTTTGATATTTAGACAAAAATACATCATGGACCAGACTTAGTAGATTCCAGATCTAAATGCTGTCATTTCAGCTATATTGTTCTAAACCATTAAAATGAAAGGAATAGAAGAGGGACCAGAATTCTGTCACTGAGAGAATTCTAAAATGCTTTTCTCTGTGCAATACAATTGTAATAGCTCCCCTGAAACACGAGGTAGTCACTTCAGCTGTCACTGGAATAATTCTATTTCAGATATATGTTAGCAGAACAGAGAATTACTACTAATATTAGAGATTAGTGTTAGTCATAAGAGGAAGAGCTTTCTGGGAAAGCTGAGAAAAAAAAAAAACCATTAAAAAGAAGCTTTATTGATTGAATTAATTTCCTTAGAGGGTCTGATTCTGGTTCAGAGAATGAACCCTGAAACCATCCCTACTTTCTTTCCTCAGAGATTAGATGTGTATTGCCTCCATGCAATCAACCTCTGACAGGGGCTGAACACCATTTTTAATGGCTGCTTATCCCATTCTCATGTAGCATTTTGCTTTTCAGGATCATCAAACATTTATTTTCACTGATGCATCAGAACATGCATCAGATGACCAGTCCTGAGATGTGGCTTTGTTGAAAAGCATATGGAAAATTCAGACTGCCAGAATTCCTCTGCCAGAATGATTTTGAATATGTTGTATATGTTTTTGTGGTTTGTTTTTTGCTTTTTTTTTTTAATTTGTAAATTAGATTGATCATTTTTAAGAAAAATCTTTTGTTTTCATTACTTCTGTACTCCTGAGGTATGTTCCCTAAGCCATACAGATAAATTACAGTGAAACTGGTTTTACTGAGCACAAATATCTATAATATGTGTTCTTGGTATATGCTATGAAAGCTAGTCAATTTAACTGCTTGAAGATGTAAGGTAATATAAATGGTGTAACACCAAATTTTGACTTCAGCCAGAATAGGTTTCTTCAGTGAGGCCAAAGAAATCTGAGTCACTGAGAATTTGTCTCAGTCAGAAATGTTGTGCATATCCAATTACTTGATAATTTGTGTAAGCATAATTTGTTTAATGAACTGCAAGAGGACCTAGGGGGTAAAGTCAAGCATATAGGAAACTGTTGAGCCAACTTAGAGGCCACAGGCTAAAATAAAGTTCCTTCCTGTACACCTGGTTAGGCTCATGTTAGGTGAATTTGTTATGCTTACTCTGCAGCCAAATATATTTGTGGTGCATATTTTTCCATTGAGTGAAATCTGATGATTTTGTTAAAATGGTGTTGTTATGTTGCAGCTTAATCAGAGCTGTTAAAGACTTCAAGAATAGCTTTTTTCTTGCAAAAGAGCTTCACTTCTGTAAGGTAAGCCTGAGGTAATCAGCATGGGACAGACACTGTGCACATTTAGTGAGTTGAAGTGTATAGAACCTTTACAGGCTTCAGGGAATTCCTTCCCCAACCAGTGACAGCTCTTTGAACTTGTTTGAACCCATGAATTGATAATTTCTGCTGACCAAGATTGGTGTGCTTGTCTGGAGAGGTCTGTTCTCTCACCCCTTGTCTGCAGGTGTGCAATGAGGGAGCAGTATTCTGCTGCTTTGCAGAAGAGAGGCCATCCATCCCAAAATTTCCAAGCCGCCTGCAGATAACTTTGTTGCTGAATAGTTTATAATCACAAAAAATCCCCTTCATTTTGCATCATTGTGCTCACTCTGGTGTAGGTTCTTCTTTGTGATGCCTGAGTCCCCATAGGAAGGCTCTCACAAGAGAGTTTGTTTTTTAGCCACAAGAGGCTGGTTTTGTGCACTAATTGACCTTGATGAGGGGCAGGGAGAGGTAAAGGTGACTGTGCTTCCAAGGCTGTCAATCAGAGATTTAATACACTCATACTCATTTTGTGTTGCTGTTGACATCTTTAATTCACCAGGACTTAAAGGCAAGATATTTCTATTTCATGCTTGTTTGCTGATACCAGAGTCTTGGGAACATTAGCACTTATGGGTCTGAAGCATTAAATTGCTGAAGTTATAGATGGTTTAAAACTCCAATATCACTTAGCTTTATTAGCTTTTGTGTTCCCAGGAACAAACATCATCTATGCAGAATGTTACCTCTTTAATCAACTTTTACTTGTATACTCAGCAGCTCTACAATGGATTTTGAAACATAATGCCATCATTGGAATAATTTCAATATTATATTTTCTCAGAGATTTTCTGCAAATCAAAAACAAAGCACAAGACTTTCCCATGGTAGCAAGCACACATCTCCTTTTTCTAACTAGGCTTTTTCCTCTATGTATTTCTGTTCTAACTGATACAAGGTTAATGCCCTCTTTACCTAAATTTCTCAGTTTTTCCCTATAAACAGTTGCAAGAAGATACATGACATTTTAATTAAATACTTGTTGGAGAGAGTACATGTTTAAAATTTAAGTTTAAAAGAATCAGCTGCTTTTCTTTCATACCATGTCTTTTATCTTTAAGAACATGGAATTAATAGTAAAAGTTCAAAGCTGTTTATTGTTGTCTACTCCTTTTTATGCTATTTAAGCCAGAGCTCATGTATGGAGAGAAACTTTGCAGTCAAATTTCCAAATTCCCTATTTAGATTTTAGAAAGTTTATTTTAGATATCTACATGAGAAATAATTTGCTATGTAGAATTTCTTAGCCCTTCAGAAGTTCTAAAAGAGAAAATGAAGTGCTTGGTACTGTTCTGTAGGGACCTAAAAAGGGGTTATGGTGATCCACACAATCCTGTTAATAAAATACTAACTTCTTTTTACTATGTGTCCCTGCTTATCTCAATTCATATTAAATTCCTTTGTATTCAGAACTTGAAAATTTCTGATCTGCACATTTCTTTGGCAATAGGAGGGAAAACTACGAAATCCACAAGGTTTTCTGAGAAAGCCCAGATTTAGGTAGGAATTCAACATTGGAGGTTGATTTACAAAGTGTGTCATGAGCATTCCACTGGGATCTCAAGAATTAGAGATTCTGAGAGAAAGCAATACTCACCATGTTCATCCAGTAGTATGTTGTCAGGTTTGATGTCCCTGGAAAATAAGGAAAGGAAAACATTACATTTTATACCCAAAGGAAATCTGCAATTTTAAAGTTTTCCCCATTTGGGTATGAGGACTAAGTCACTTAAATCATTACAAACCCAATGACAGCTATATAATACATAAAGGCAAATGATTTTTATCTACATATTTTTGCTGCCCTGAGAAAACATGCATACTAAAGAGGCTCTCTGGGTTTCCATTTATTGTAGTTTTGTTTTCATATGGTTAGCATTGACATAGGTATGGTTTTCAAGATTATGTACTTTATTCTTTATAGCAGCAGTAAAATGAGAAGGCAGACTTGCATCTAGAAGGTGCCTGATTGCTTCAGGGACTCCACATTTGACAGAAATAATTTAATTGGAAGCATAGGTGATTTATCCTGTCTGCCAGACCCTGCTAATCTGCCATGCATGGTCACTCACACACAGCAGAGTCCTGTGATCTGTCTTGTGCTAATTGAGTATGTCCAGAAGCTCTGCTGTCACTCCCAGATCTCCACTTGGCTGTCTGAAACCAAGTACCATGCTGGGAAAAGGAGCAGAGGTACAGGAAGGTGGGATAAGGGAAGGTGGAGATTATGACAGGCTGAAGCATCAGCTCAACTCTGTCATTCTTGGCACAAGAGTGCCACGATATTACCCTAGAGAGTTGCACTTTCAGGATTATTTTCTATTGATCCAAGTTGATGCTGCTGTGAAGAGGGATGGAAACAACTTCTCCCCACCACTGTCAGGCATTCCCACCCTCTTTCTTGGCCCAGAATTACTGCCACTGGTGTGGAGCTGCTCAGGGAAAATGCATGTCTTGGCTTTGCTGGTTAAACTGGCCTTGGTGAGGCTCAGCTGGGGCTGGGTCAGCCTGATGGGGCAGTGCTGGGTGGCACCACCTTGTCTGCACTTCATGCAGGTTTGAAACTCCTTGTTCTTGGTGAGGCATTGCCAGAGTGGCAGAGCAGCAGTTGAACAACTTGAGCAACAGTTTTGGCCCTTGGGCTGAATTTTCCACTTACCTCAAAAGACAAGGAACCATAAACTGGCAAAATAAGTTCCTGAATGTCTGCAAATGAACTGCAAACACTCCCACCTCTGAAATCTCTTTTAGATAAGAGATGGCTTATCTTTAAACATTTCCTAGGAAGGTTTTTTCCCAACATGCCCATAAATGGAATATTCAAAAAAGTGAAGTGTTGCAAAAGGAAAATGTGTTACACCATATTTTTTTTCCAAATTTAAAGTAGGACTTCTAAAGTAAACATTATACACGAATAAGATAGCAAAAGCAATTATAATATATTTATTGCTTACCTAAGTTTCACATCTTTATTGACAGAAGAAGGAAACCTACACTTTCCTTAGCATTCTCTATTCCATGCTTTCTAGCCCTTGTTGAGATTCATATGAAATTTTGAAGTATCCTAAAATTATTTCTATAATTTGTGTAGTGGAAGCTGAGGAAACGCAGTATGAATAAGAAATTACTTTGAATAATTCTCTGCACATTTGGAAATAATGTAGAATGCATATATATATATCTGTGTAAGGAACAGGATCTCATTATGAAGAACTATCTGGCATGGAAATTTAAAGTTATACCAATATTTCAGTGTGAAATACTGGCTACCTATAATTGTCTGATTCAGAAGCAGTTCTCTGTTATAATGTTATAAGCAGCAGTTATTTGTATAATAAAAGGAACATCTGTCCTAGAGCCCATTTCACCCAAAATCTTCCAGACTCTGAGTTCTCTTTCCTTTCCCCTGTAATCACTTGGCATATCATTTACCACACTATAATCTTTCCTTCCCTGATTTCATATGGGTGAAGTTGTGAGAAAAACTGTAGAGATAAATATATTTGTTTATATTATGAAACATATTTGTGTTTTGTTTAAATTTGGAATTTTGTATTTTGTTGAATTTGGTTAAATTAGCAGAGGAGATCCGATGCAATTCTAAATGTAATGTTATATCTAATCTCTCAAGTGATGAGAGGGTTTTTGAAATAGCTACTGTTCAGATGGTTCCTATATTTTCCAGTGGCAATTTTGTCTTTGGTTTCTGATAAAAGTTTTGTGATAAGAGTTGGAATTGTGATTTCCTGTTGAATAGTCTTTGTGGTTGATTCATGACTTGAAAATACAGCAATAACTTTCCATGGAAGTAAGTAATAGTTTTGACACCTGAATAAAATATTTTAAACTTTACCTTCACAAATTTTTACAAGAACAAACTGACTCTGCACTTCTCATGTGGGTAAAAAGATTGAGGTCATACACATGTACATTTGGGTCTTTTTGTGGCTTCCTGAGATCAGTGATACATTCAACAGCACTCCAAACTCTTTTCCCCAGTTTAAGAAAATGAAGAATTAGAATTATACAGTCATTAGCACTTCACCAAGAATAAAACTGATCAAAAGGAGAAATTCATCTTTATGAGCTACTGCCATGTGTATGACAATGCAGCACACAGGGATTGCTCATTACAAGACAGTGCCTTTTTTGTCTTTTTTTTAAAAGAAGATCAGTTCAAACAATTTGAATATCTGCTATGGTATTTCATCATTAAACAGTCTATACATTTTTATAGCCACCAGAAAAGACATTGACAAATCCACTTGACAACTGTATGTATCATCAAATATACTCTTCATTCAGTTTGTGCCTGTAATGTTCAGAAAGTTGAGTGGTACAATTAGATCTGTGCTTATCCTTCCATGACTAATTCAGGCAGTGGCTGATACTTGATACAGATGTGCACAAACCATAAAGCCTTTCCCACCTAAGGGATGTTTCTCACTGTTGGCTTTGCTCATTTTGCTCAGGGGCAGGATGTAGCTGGGGGCAGGCACCACAGGGCGTACGGCCTTGCGCACAGCAGCAAAACCCCTCACTCCCTGAGGCAACCTGGTGGGCTCACAGCCCTGCCTCAGACCTCAAACAGGATATTTTAAACTGCTCTTACAGCAAGTGAAAGTCGTGGGCTATTTAAAGCCAGAAGGTAAACAAGTTTATTAAGTCAGACACTGCAGCTCTGGGGTCACGCGCCTGGAGATGCGTGAGGTGCGCGGATTCACGAGGCGGGTGAGAAGGACAAGCACAGGGTCACCGTGCACACGGAGTGTCACCGTGCACACGGAGTGCCACCATGCACACAGAGTGCCACCATGCACACAGAGTGCCACCGTGCACAGAGAGTGCCACCGTGCACACAGAGTGCCACCGTGCACACAGAGTGCCACCGTGCACACAGAATGCCACCGTGCACACAGAGTGCCACCGTGCACACGGAGTGCCACCATGCACACAGAGTGCCACCATGCACACAGAGTGTCACCGTGCACACAGAGTGCCACCGTGCACACAGAGTGTGCCCTCCAGCAGCTCTCTGCTGGGGGATTGGCCCCACTTTGCAGGGAGCACTAAAAGCTCTGCTCTCCAGAGGCAGCTTGTTGAGCGCTCTAAAGAGTGCGAAGAAGCACAGGCACTGCTCTGCCCTTGCACTGAGCACTGCCAGCCAGGAGCAGGGCACAGAAGGTTCAAAGGGGTCCAGGGAAAGACTTGGCAGGCCCAGGTGCATCACAAGTTACTGGGTGTACTCAGAACTGAGGACTTCTGGAGTCTGTTATATTTAGTTTCTCTAGATAAATACTCTAATTAAATTCGCTAAACCACTGTTTTAGTGAATTTAAAAGATAAATCCTCTTCAGTTAAGAAGTTTAAATTCAAACATACTGTGTAAGTGAAATTTTGGTTTGATTACACATCAATTTTTCTGAAAAAAATTTCCCATTAGCAAGATGTTTAAACAGCAGCACCTTAACTTCAGGGTTTTCCTGTTACAAATATCCCTCGTTAAGAGAATTAATTGAAACATTCATTTCATAATCCAAGTACTTTGAACCAGCTCATAGGAGAAGTTGAAGGACTTTTGCAAGTATTACATTCACCATGGTTTGGATTCAGACATGCCCTGGGCTTCTCTCTCACCATTCATCAAGCAATGGCCAACAAAGCTATGGAAACATCCTTGACACTGATCTCATAAATACAACTTTGTCAGTCTGTACCAGTACTACTCCAGCTGTTTTTGTATGCAGAAATATCAGAGCCACATAGAAATGAGAGTAGAGAAACCTTCAAAGTCTTTTGCTCAGTGACAGGACAAGGCTTAACTAACATAAAAACTGGCTCAAGAAACTCAAAGGTGCAAACAATTGAGAAAAAAAAATTAAGACCCCCCAATTTAATTGCTATTTTTGATATTGCCCCATTTCTAGATTTCTTCAATTGCCTTAGCTACAAATATCAAAATAAAACTGCCTGGAGGATGAAAGTTGAGTTAGAAGATGCTGCTATAATTTCCAAGTAGGAAAGAATGATTAATAATCTACTTGTATCTTTTATAATATCTAGGCTCTGTGTGCATCCCATGTGCTTGAAGATTTTTCTCTCTGCATGGAGTAAAACCATGCATGTGGCTCAACTCATGTTCACTGCATCTGCCAAGTCAGAGTATCTTCTCTGGAAAGGTTCACAATGCTTATAAAGGACTTGGGCTCAAGAATCTGCAGTTTTAATTGCCTTTTCCATCAGTTTCCTTCTGGTGTTATGAAGTAGAAGCAGGTTTCAAAGTCACGAGGTGGAGAAGTCATGCAGTCTTCATCCTTGTTGGTTTTCAAGACCTGACTGGATAAATCCCAAATAACCTGTTCTGATCTGAAGGCTGACCCTGCTTTGGGAAGATCATTATGCTGGAGGTGTCTGGAGGTCCCTTCCACCCTGAATTAGTCTGAGTCTATGAAAAATAATGTATCCAAGTTCAAAGATTGTCTTACTTCCCCTCCTTTTACTGCTAGGAAGTTCATGAAAAATTGAAGAAAGCATTGAGAAAACTGAATATGTGGAATTTAGTGAGTCTTTGATGTAGTCCATAGCAGCGGGCAGCTAGTGAGAGCTTTCACCTCTTAAATTCTATCATGGGGCTT